ATTTTGTTGTGGAATTTGAAAGGGGGAAACAAGACTTTCCAGACACATAATCTTATAGCATTGAAATATTGTCTTAATCAAAAGCTGAGTTGGACTGCCTGAAAAAGAATTACAAATGCAAGACTGGAGAAACTAAAACCCTTACTCACTGTTGTTGGCAGTGTAAAATGGTGCAAACACTATGGAAGGTAGCATGGAGCGTTCTCAAAAAGTTGCAAATAGAAATACCATTTGACCCAGCATTTCCACTACTAGGAATATACATTAAAGAAACCAGAACTGACACCCAAGCAGCTATATGCACACCCATGTGTATTACTGCTTTGTTTACAATAGCAAAGAGTTGAAAACAACCCAAGTGTCCATCAACAAATGAATGGATAGAGAAACTGTGGTACATTTATACAATGGAATATTATGCAACACTGAAAAACAAGGAACACATGAAATATTATGCAAAATGGGTGACCATGAAGGACATTATGCTGAGTGAAATATTTCAGTCACAAAAGGACAAATACTGCATAATGCCACTGTTATAAAACAGGATTGACATGGGGGTTGAGAGGATCCTAAGAAGAGAGGGATAAATAATGTACACAGCATTAAAACAGACAAGGGAGAAAACTGTATAAAAGAAATATATTATTAGGCATTATTGGCATGACAAGATTCCAGAATAAGGGCTGCACAGTAAAATGGACTGGGGAGGGGGAGACTGTATAATAATGAAAGAATTTTTTTTTTCCAAAGAGAAAAGTGAACTGAGGGAGAGGAGGAACAGGGAGGGAAAGGTGCAACAATGAATGAATGGCAATCCCAGTTTTCTATAGACTTTCATTAAAATCTCAATTAAAAAAATACATTTGACCCAAGAGGCCAAAAGAAAGATCGCAATATTACTATTGGGGGAGGGAGAAAGAACTCCACAAAATTATTCAGTCTCGGGGTTAAGGGCGAGTTCTTAAATGCTGTTGAAAGAAAGAATTGATTTTGCAGTTATAGAAAAGATTAAAGGAAAGACCAGTCCCAGTGCAACAACAACAGCAAAAAATCTATGGTATGGTAAAGTATGCATTCTACCATTGCTGATTTTCTGCAAGAAGGCACAATGTTGTTGTTATGTGCCGTCAAGTTGCTTGCAACACATAGTAACCCTAATGTACAAGAGCCCTAAACTCTGCTCTGTTCTGTGCCAAATGCACCGTCTCCGATACACCCATCCTGATTACCCCAGTCACTGAATCAATCCACCTCACAGAGGGCCTTCTTCTCCAGGGCTGTCCCTCCACCCTCCCAAGCATGATGTCCCTCTCCAAGGACAGGTGCCTTCTTACAACATGTCCAAAGTATGTCAGACGAAGCCTCAGAATCCTTGCCTCCAAGGAGCCACCTGGTTTAACCCTCTCTAGGACGAACCTGTTTATTTTCTTAACAGTCCATAATACATTCAATACTCTTCTCCACCACTGCTCAAAGGCATCAATTCTCCTTCCTCCCTAGTCATTCATTGTCCAACTCTCTGATGGATAACAAGTGATTGCAAAGACCATGGCCTGTATCA